TTTCTCACAACAATTACTTAAAAGGTTTTTTTTTTTCCATTTTCTTTTATTATTCATATGTGCATACAAGGCTTGGTTCATTTCTCTCCTGCCCCACCCCTCCCTTACACCACTCGCCCTCCTTCCCCCCCAATACCCAGCAGAAACTATTTTGCCTTATTTCTAATTTTGTTGTAGAGAGAGTTAAGCAATAATAGAAGGAACAAGGTTTTTGCTGGTTGAGATAAGGATAGCTATACAGGGCATTGACTCACATTGATTCCTGTGCGTGGGTGTTACCTTCTAGGTTATTCTTTTTGAATCTAACCTTTTCTCTAGTACTGTTCCCCTTTTCTATTGGCCTTCAGTTGCTTTAAGGTATCTGTTTAGTTTTTGCGTTAAGGGCAACAAGTGCTAGCTAATTTTTTAGGTGTCTTCCTATCTACCTCCTTGTTGCTCTCGTTTTATCATGTGCTCATAGTCCAATCCCCTTGTTGTGTTTGCCCTTGATCTAATGTCCACATATGAGGGAGAACATACGATTTTTGGTTTTTTGAGCCAGGCTAACCTCACTCAGAATGATGTTAAAACAGGTTTTTAAAATAAGCAATGAATCAAGCATTTAAACCAAGGGAAAGATGAAGAGATGCCATTTTCGGCTGAAAGGTAGTTATGTCTTTCTGAACAAACTAAAATTGTACAATTGCTAATAATTACATGGACTGTCTAGTTTGCTTGCTACATGGCATTACTAAACTGATTTCTGCAAAAGATAAATCTAGTGTACTTGCTGAATACAATCAAATAAAGATAGCTGCCAGTAAAAGCTTATTTATGACAAAGTAAAGCACAGCCTCAGATACAGCAGTTAAAAAAAACAAAAAAAGAACCCAAAATAGCAGCTGATGTGATGTGCACACCTGCAATCCCAGCCACTAGCATGTGTGAAGCCCAGCATTCAATCTCTCATACCAAAAAAAAAAAAAAAAAGGTATAGGTGTCTTCTATAATCCAACCTGGTGGGGAAAGGCATTGAGACAGTCACAGAACTGCTGTTCACATGGTTTTAAATGTGATTTTTAAATCTTCTTTAAAGAGGAAGGTCATCTCAGTTGCTTTAATTTTTCCCATATTTTAACAAATTAAATTATGTAGTAAATTATAGTCATTAAGTTTGAAAAATATTTCAACTAAATGGAAAAATTTCCTGTGATAAAGCCTCCATATATGGAAGAATGAGTCAGAGTATAGTCAGCACAAATTTTCCACCTGGAAAAGATAAAGTATTAAGCTTTTAATTAAGGTGGTCATTGGTATCACTGAATGCAATGCATATCCTGCCTTCTTAAAACCACACACTACTTGATTCAGATTCATCACTGAACACTTGTATAATTTGATCACAGTGACGTCCTCAGGGGCTGTGGTATGCATGATACTCTATTAAACTGTCTATGGCTGCTATGCTTTTAATCTTTATTTTTTGGTCATCTCTCCTGCTGTGATCTATTATAGTTTATTGTTTATCTACCTCTAGCAAAATCCTTTTGATACTCGTGATCTGTTCAGGATAACCAAAACTGTTGGGAATGGGTGTGAAGGTTCTGAAGGAGGGTTCTGAAGTGCTCTCAAGCACTTACTTTGGAATAAAGTATGAGCATTGCTAACGTGTTCCCCGGGCTTCTCTGGTGACACTTCCTTAAATAAATTGTAAATGAGTGAAGTGCAATTAGTTAGATATTTCTGGTAGGTTTAAAAAATGCCCACCTTAATTTCTTAAAAACCCTGCTAAACAGTGGAGTTTAAAATTTTCTTTGTATAGAAAGAGTCTTGACAACACATTTCTGATGGAAGACTGTGGGATCACAGCGGGGAAGAATTATGTAGATCAGCAGCTAGCTTAATTGGCTTCCCATAAACTTGTTAACAAATTAGGTTACAAAATACAAAAGCACTTCAATGAATCATCATATGAGGCACCAAACTCAAGGCTGAATTGTAATGTGATTTTCAAAATACAACTTGCTTAATTATCCACATGAATGAATCATTAATACCTCAAGCTTGCTAACACTTTTGGATACCTGGTATTTGTGCAATGATGGTGCTCATTTGCTGAGTAAGGCATGAGTAGTTCTCTAGGTAAGCAGGAGAGGCAGTCCTCAAAACAATCATCGTGAGTAACAACAGTGTTCTTTCGTGAACGTTCTAGAAACCTCAGACATGTATTTCAAGAGCTAAGTTGTATAAATTAATGTGCATTTGGTTATAATGTTTATATTTTAAGGTACACATAATAGAATTCAGTGAATTTCATTTAATGGTAATTGAGGATAATGCTTACATAAAGGAGTGATTAAAATTACATTTTGGCTACATAGGTGGGAAGTATTTGGGATATCGCTTTAACATATTTTAACAATGGGAGGTATAGAGAAGGAACCCTTTATTCTGAGAGCAAAACCATGTTGCTTTTTGTGCACTATAATTACTTTTTATGAGATTCACTTTCAATTTTTAAGTGTTCTTATTTCACAAAATTTAGTTGACAATTAAGACTACACATTTTTAGTACATTTATCTCCTATGAAATCTAAGTATGGAAATCACTAGAACATGTTTAAGAATATTTGCTGTGAGTTGCAGTAAATGATTCATGACCATGACAAGTATATCCAAACTTTTGAATGAGGACTTCCCCTACAGTCTTTCGACAAACTGGGGTGGGGTGGCTGGATAATTTGACAGTGAAGCCCCTTAAGAGTGTGGAATGAAAGGTCTCAAACAAAAAATACCCACAGCCATAGAAGTGACAATGTTATATTTCTCCCCATTGACAGTTGGGAATAGCAATAATTTTGGACATACACATTCTTGAAAACACAGGCCTACATTTTACCTCTAACTTTAAAATTCTTGCTGTTGATCATGAGAAAGTTAGGGTCGCATAGAACTTACTGACATTACATGTAATAAATTCAAAATCCAAGAACCATGCTTATTAGAGCAGTGTCTGATACTATAGATGCTCAATTACTATTAGCTTTCTTATTTGAAGAAGGATTAAATGTTTGCCTCCTATACTTTCTTCATATAAAAAAAAAACAGTGAATTGAATGGTGTGTACCTTTAATAGATAGACAAGGATAATTACTAATATGAGAATTATAATGTAAAATAAAACTGAAGAGACTTAATTATAGACTAAAAATTACAATGTTTTAAGGATTCTCCAGTAAATTTACTTGGAATTTTATTTTAATGGCTTATACTATTAAAAAGAAAAAGAAAATTTTTAATTTTTTGGTACTACTGGGCTTTGAACTCAGGGATTTGCACTTGCTCTCTACTTGAGCATGCCTCCAGCCCAGAGAAAAGACAGATTTGATCACTAACCTATTTATCATTTTTATCTGAATTCAGAATATGCTGTATTTCAAACTGACCTTCAAATTGAGGCAGCCATAAATTTAGGTTGTTGCCACCCCAGCTGTCACTGAGTTAAAGACCTCACACACACACACACACACACACACACATACACACAGTTACTCACTGGAACTTTTTATATCCAGTTCCCTGAAATCGGGATGTTCATATTAATGAGACAAGAACCTCTATAAAGCAGAGTTTATCTCTGTAACCTCAAGTAATTCTTCATGGCAATATTTTCCTTAGTTCAACTAAAAAGAACGGAGTGTAGAAAATCAAAAGGAGTTGAAAGCATTCCAATGGTCAAAACAAAATATGAAAAACAGTATTATAAATGTAGGGAAATTTTAAAAAGTATATATTCTCCTGAAATTAAAATCTGTTAATATATTCTGTTGAGTTAATATTCAGAGACACAGCTTTGGACCCATTGCCAAAGTTTAGATCCCCAATTAATTAAAACAATTATTGATTTTATTGCTGGAAAATACATTAATTCTCTGAAGTCAGAATGAGGCTTGACAATTTCTCTATAAATGACTGAATATACAAAGTATCAAATATAAGCAGTAGTGTAGCAAGAAAATAAATTGGCAGAAATAATTCAACCAGTAGTAATAATTAAGACTAACGTTTCAAAGATTTTCTATACATAAACAATGAGAAAATATTGTAAGATTTTACAGCACACAATTGAATCAACCCTAAGTTATACTATTATACTTCTTTCTTCTTCAGTATGAGTGGACCCACATTATCTCCTGTCAATTCATTATGCTTGTTATGGGAACCATCACAGGCAGGAAACTAAAAGGAAAAAAGATTTACAAGTGTTATTTGAAAAACAGGATTAAGTAGAAATTTGTGAAATACTCTCATAAAAAAGCACATGACTTGCTAAAAAATCCATCAGATAAGTTTTCCTGAGTAATAAATACGTCCTCCACATTATGATACCCCAGCAAACTGAGCAGTCTACATAATGCATTATTTGGTTTAGATTTTAAATTAACATCTTTTGGACTATTCCAGGAGTGGTGAAATAGGTTTAAGCCCTTGGTCTCAATGGAGCTCTAAATTTGAGCTCATTTCTTATTCAAGTTTTAAAAAAATGGAATGTAAATTTTATAACATTTTCTTAGTACAAAACTCATTCATACTATAAAATGTAAAGATTTTAAGTGTATTTTTTAAACGTTCATTCAAATCATCTAGATATAGGTATAAATAAAATTTTATATTTTGTTCTCTGCATTTATTGTATTAAGACAAAGATAAAATTGGAACCATACTGTAATGTTTTTCTTTATTAAATTATCATCTCACATCATTAAATTTCTTTAGAACATGATCTGTAATGTCTTCCTAACATCGCTTGTATTATATTATACTTTTAACTGCATTCCTATTTTCGGATATTTAGTTTTTAAAACTTTGCTATTACAAAGGATGCTGTGATGAACAATATTGTACTTAACATCTCAAATAACCCTATCAAAGTAATACAAAAACAGATCTCATCACTATTTACAACTCATTACCCAAAACTACTCCTTTGGTGCTTAAAACTCAACTATAATTTTAGCTACCATTTTCCAGTTTATACTATGCAAGGCATTTTACATACATTATTTCATTAAATCCTAAAACAAAACCTTTACTAATACAGATTTTTTAAAACCTGAAAATAACATATTAAAAATTAAGTAACTGTCTCAGCCCAAGTTGGCAACTTGCCTAACTTGCACAAGTGATAGGCATGTGATTTGAACATGGTTCTGAAAACTCCAAAGCTTAAGCTCTTTTCCACTAAATTCTCTCTCATAAAGTGACTATACTTTAAAATATATTACTCTAGACAAATGCTGAGCGATGGGAAAGCATTCGATTCCTATACTCCTTTGCATGCTCTAACTTTTCTGGTGAAGATAGTATTAATCACAAAAAGCACACTTTAATTTGGGAATATGAACTTTCAAAACTGAATACTGTGAGATCTCTCATCTCACAAAACCTCGAAACTGGGGATTTAAGAAGCAAAACAATTCTAATTCCAAAATTTTATTATACATGTAAATAGACATCTCACCGTCTTAGAACGCCAACACCTACAATAAGCTGCTTTAGTAAGGCACAAATCTTCAATGTTTATTTCATTCACCACTTTGGGATTTTCCTTTTGTATTTTAAGATTAATCAAGCTATCTTTCTGTTGTTTTTTCTTCTGGAGGAATGGACGAACTGCAAGGTAGCCAAGAAGAGCGAGTACACCAAGGAAAGGCAATAACCGAAGCCATTCTGAAACTAAATGAGTACGTATTTGTCAGAATATGCAGTGTTTTTGCAAAACAGCATTTCTAGTTTAATCCTTGAACTTATTCTTTATCTGTTACCTTTCACGTTCATTTAACTTACCTGTAAAACTGTGAAGAAATCATACAGTACACCCAGCTCTACCAGCTAGACCACCTTATTTTGAGGACTATCCTGAGATTTGTGAAAATGAAGATGTAAATTTTCAGAAGTATCCTATCTCACTGTATCCATTAGGTGTGCTGTCTTTATCAGGAATTATAACTACCATAATTATAAACAAAATTCAATGTGTGATATATTTTATAACCTTAGAAAACATTCTCACTCATTTTTCCTTAATACCATCTCTAATACTATACAACAGGATATCCTTAAAATTTTTACTACTGACTTGTAATTTCAGACAGAACATGTCTTCAGAAGCTTCAATTTGCCAAACACTGGTGGTAGCTCACAGCTATAACCCTAGCTATTCAGGAAGCAGAGATCAGTAGGATCACAGTTCGAAGCCAGCCTGGGCAAATAGTTCAAGAGACCCTATCTTGAAAAACCCTTCACAAAAATGGACTGGTGGAGTAGCTCAAGTTATAGGACCCGAGTTCAAGCCCTAGTACCATAAATAAATATAAAAGCTTCAATTTACTTGTTTTGGGAAATGATCCCAAAGAATACCTAAATGCGTATAAAATCTATTTTAATGAAATGAAACTTTTACATATTGGAGATTCTCATTTTAAAATACTTATTTCAAAAGTGTTCATTAAATACCTTTTGGAGTGCCCTGTCTTAACAAGATAGGAAATGTAAGTGATATAAATGAAATGGTTCCCTATGTCTGTGGAGACAAACAAATAAGAAAGCCATGGCAAACATCTGAGCACAAGGTTATCAAAAGTATGCTAGTTCTCTATGGGACTCCTTTCCATTCTTAAGCGTTACCATTAATTGCCTTTACTGACCTGACACCCTGCTGAGCACTATAGCCTAGCTTAGAGGAAAACAGGAGATGATGTGCCTAGGTAAACTAATAAATATTGATAAATGAGCATACTATACTAAGAGTGCAACTATATTAACTCATTTACCACCATGTTACCTTAAACTGCATTACTGTAATATTATTCTCATTTTACATGTGACTAAACTGCAGCTTAAGCAGGCTTGGTCCAGGGCAGTCTAAACCCAAAACCCATTGTAAATCACCATGAACCAACAGGTCTAAAATTAAATCTCTTCCTTTTGGTGAAATTACTCTGAAGAGATAATTCTTAAGTATTTAACTAATGAAGAAAAAAAACACTGGCTAAATACTCTTCCAAAACAAAATTAGTTTTGATTCACTAACAGGCCAGAGATCTAAATGAAACAAACTGTTTATATGCCTTATGTACAGCATGTATAGAGAAGATATACAATAAATGGTAGCTTAAATTAAGAGATTATAGAGCCAGGCATGGTTGCACATGCCTGCAATCCTAGCACTCAGGAGGCAGAAGCAGGAAAATTATTAGTTTGAGGCAAGCCTAGGCTACACAGGAGAGTGCATGACCAATTTGGGCTACATAACATCCTGTCTCAAAAACAAAAACAAACAAGAGATTATAGAGATTGCAAAGAAAAAATATTTTGGCCAAATCAACTTGGCAGTGCTGTGTGATAGAACTCTTTGGAGATGTGATCTTTTGGTCAGTCAGCAGAATGAAGCTCTATAAAGGACCTTGTTTCTCATGTTGGTTGTTACCTATCCATAATCAAAATGTAGATATTCCATGAAGATTCTTTGAAGGAGCTAAATTCTGTAGGTGAAACAGAATTTTTTTTTTTTTTAGATAGGGGGAGATTCCTATGTATAGCTATGTGCTTTCCAATATGAAAACCACTAACTATATTATTTTGATTTATACCCAAGACTTTTTAAAATTTGTAGAATAAAAGACACACAGACAGCTGCATTGAAAGAAGATTTTATTACAGTTCCCAAGAGATAGTTCCAAGAGGGAAGTAATAGGTTAGTCAGCAGGAAGAGGTGGGAGAAAAACACAGGCACAGGTCTTTATTGTGGCTTCCATGAAAAAGACAAAGCAGGGCAAGGCAAACAGTTTGGATTGGTTAGCTTGAAAAATTTCAGTGGACTTGGGTAACAGGGGTAGGAACTGTGTAGTACTGTCCCCAGGGTAATTTAGGGAAGGGAAATTATTAATGTATAAGAATTAGATAAAGGAAGGAGTTGGAGATACAAGCTTTGGGTTGGTTGGTTTGCAGTTTTAAAGTTTATGGTGGGACTGGAGGTATGGCCTAAGCGATAGCATACCTGCTCTGCAAGTGCAAAGCCCTAAATTCAAACCCTAGTCCCACCAAAAAAAGGAAAAAGTTTATAGTGATGAAAATTTTCTCTGTGATACTGAATACTGTAATCACTGACCACATGTGGCTATTCATCCCCTAAAGGTGACCAGTGTGTCTTAGAAACTGAATTTAGAATTTTGGTTCTTAAATTTCGAGATGAGCCAGGCATGGTGATATATACCTGAAATCACAGTACTTGGGAGACTGAGGCAGGAGGATAGTGAGTTTGAGGACAACCTGGACTATGTAGCAAGACCCTGTCTCAAAAAAAAAAAAAAAAGAAAAAAGAAAAGAAAAGAGAAAGAAAAAAGTGTCTATTCTATAAGCTTATGGAAGAAAGGAGGTGTGGTTCTGTTATTTTTGGCCCAAGGTAGATGCTAAAAATGTTAAATGAGTGACTTACTGAATGAATAAAGGGAGGACACAATGTTAGTCTCCTCACTATATTGTTCCATAATCTTTATTTACACTTACCTTCTGTATTAGATAGTAAATGTCTTAGCTTACAACTGACCCCAGCATCCAGACATATGGTGAAATAACAGTAATACAGTAACTGTTTGTTGAATATAGAATAACATCAAGTACTATTTTACATAACAACATAAAAAAGTCACTAGAGGTTAAAATGTCAAAAAGCAAATGAATGAGGATATAAAGATAAAACCTTAACTTTAGGTCTGGAGGTGTGGCTCAGGTGATAAAGTGCCCACCTAGCAAGCACAAAGCTCTGAGTTCAAACCTCAGTACTAACAAAAAAGTCAAAAACAAACAAAAAATTAACTTTAGACTCTTAAAGTAGCATTTCTTATTTTAACTCACAAATTTCAGGGACAAATGGCATTAATACTGTTTTAAAATATACTTCAGAAAATGTTCTTTTGAACACTTAATTCTTTGGTAAAACAGTATTCTAAATAATATGATAATGAGAGCTACTGTTGTCCCTTATAACAAGTAATAGCTTCTAAAAACTTTGTAAAATAAAAACCATATAGAGTACAGAGGTCAATTCAAATCATTTTAAACATATATATTAAGGATGATTTTTAGTGAGGAAGTGTAAAATATAGAAGAATCAAATAAGAAATTAAAACTTTTAAGACAGGCTATTTTCTCTGAAGTTATTTGATGTATAACTGAGCTAACAGCTATTTTGGAGGTAAAAATATTGCCTACTAATTATAACTATAGTATGAAGTAAAGTGATTTAAAATAACATGTATTGTACAATGTATTTTTATCTTTATTATTTTAGAATTATAAAAAAATAACACATCATACAAAAGCTGGAAAATTCAGAAAAGCATAAAAGTTACTTATTTCCCTACCAGCAAGAATTAGTTAGGGCTAAAGGTGTGGCTCAAGTGGTAGCCTGTATGCTTAAACCCCACTACCAACACACACACACACACACACAGACACACACACACACAAAAGAATTGGTTATATTTTGATATATTTCTATGGGTTTTTTTGGTATGTAAACATATATGCTATAAATGCTTTTCAAAAGTGAGGCATTACATATATATAGTATATAACCTACTTTTTTCATTTAATGTTTCAGATTATTACATTATTTTTCCAATTTCTTAATGACATTTGGAAACATGAATTTTAATAGTTGATTCCACCTATCATGTCCCCCAATCACAATTAAGATCAACAAGAGCAGGGAGACTTTATTTGTATGGATTACCACTGTATCCTTAGTGCCTAAACAATGCCTTGCTCAGCTTAATTAATTTACTTTTTATTGTCACATACATAATTTATAGTTCAGTGTGCTGAGCTGTGTGTTAAGTGTTCAGTTTGGTGAGTTTTGAAACTATATAGATCTGTAAATACCACTTAAAACAAAATGTAAATTATTTATAAATGTAAATTATATATATATATAATTTACACCATTCCAGAAAGCCCCCTTCTGATTATTATCATCAATTTAAGTGCATAATAAACATTCTCTGAATAAACAAATCTGGTAAATTTCCTATTATTAAATAATTTGCTAACTAAGTACCCACTAACTAAGTTCCACAGAGTGGAACCCCTGTGCAGTGCAAATGCAGTAGCTGTATTCCTGTTTCTATGTACTCAATTTTTAGGGCGGTGCCTGGCACAGAGCAGGATTTCAGTAAGCAACTAAAGTCCAGATTTTCATATACTTGGAGCCAGGTTTCTTTCATCTGTAAAACAGTAATAACAATCACTCATTTGTTTGTCCAACAATATTTACTAAGTATCCTACATTCCAGTTAACTGCATTAAGAGATGCTGATGCAGGCTGATAGATAAGGTCCCTGCTCTCATGGCAAGAGGGGACAGACAATAAACAAGCAAATGAATAAACAAGATAATCATACACTGTACTAACAACTGTGAAGAACATAAACAGGATGATATAAAAGAAAAAAGACTAACCTAGGGGCAGAGTAGTAGGTTGAGTGCAACTTTAAGTAAGGGGTCAGAGGTTTCTGTAGAAAGAACTTCAAACAGATACCTAAAAGATGAGTAGAAGGCAAAGGGTTCAAAGACTCAAGTAGAAATTTCAAGGCAGAAAACAGCAAAAAAACCAAACTTCCAACTTCATAGAATTTTCAGAGAAACATATGAATAAAGTAGGAAACCACTCAATT